CCCGGCCGGGGGCCTTGCACTGAAGTCGCGCCCCGAGCCGGCCAGCTGGCCGCATGCACGCAGCAGACTGATTCCGAGAGACGCCCTCGTCGCTCTGTCTCTCTCGCACCTGCAGGGGACGCCCCATGAGTGCGAGAGAGACAGAGCGACGAGGGCGACTCTCGGAATCAGTCTGCTGCAAGGCGAAGGCCCCCCAAGATGGCAAGACAGACCGCCGCTTTACGGTGTGCACCGTGACCGAGCTGCAGCCCATGATCGCCTCCAACGTGCTGCAGCGCCGGTCACTGCGCCTCTCTCGCACCCCTTGGACGCCCCACGAGTGCGAGAGAGACAGAGCGACGAAAGCGCTGCGCCTGTTGAACGAACGGGCGCGCCTGCAGCAGGCCGCCAGCAGCCCACAAACCCACGCCGTGGTGGAGCCGCCTTGCTGCAGTGCGGCGCGCTGCACTCGGATTGAATGAGCCAAGCGCAGTCCGCTGCGGCGTCAGCTGGCCAGCGCCATAGCCAGCGGCCCGGCCGGCACGGCCGCGGGTTCGAGTACCGCGCGGCGGCAGCGCGGCAGCTGTCTTTTCGAACGGCCCTCGCGGTGACGGAGGGATGCGCCCCGGCCGACGCCATACGGCTACGCCGCCGTCTAGGCACGCCTGGGCACGCCTCGCCGCGCCGCGCCGCGCCACGCCGCGGCAGAGCAAGGCAGGGCGAGGCAGAGGGGCACGGCGGGGCACCGCGGGGCACCGCGGGGCCGGGACGGAATTAGACAACGCCTCGAGAGCAATGCGGTTGTGACTGCGCGGCCAAAGCAGGCTAAAGAACGCCAAAGAAGCGCGTCGGCGTGGCCGGGGCCGGCACACTGTGCGAAAAAAAACACAGTGAATCCCGTTAATTTTTTTTGCCGGGATTTACTGTAGTTCAGAACACAGGATATACCGTGCCTGGCTACAGTATCTACTGTACCTGGTACAGGATATTCCGTACTCCACTCCCGTGGTACAGTAAATCCCGTAGAAAGTACAGTAGATCCTGTTAAAAAAGTACAAATCCTGTACTCTGAACTACAGTGACCGCTGTACTAATCACTACAGGATTTACTGTGATTTTTTCCCACAGTGCAGAGGCCCGCAGGCAGGCACGGCACAGGCCCGGAGGAGGGAGAAGGACTGCCGTTGGCGAAGGCCAAGGTGCTACGCGGTGCTAATGCGCTCTGAATCCGAGGGTCTTTACATCGCTTTACATCGCTGTCTTCCGCGCACCTATAGCGGATGCCTATGAGTGCGAGAGAGACAGAGCGACGTCATCAGAATCAGTCTGCTGGGCGCATTCGCAGCGACACGAGAGAGAGGCCGGTGCTCTCGAAACCGAAACATCTTTGCATTTTTGAAGCGGATAGCTCACGAAAACTTGGTTCAAAACAGCTTTCGGCGGTTAAGTTGAAGGTGGTTACGTTTATTTTGAGGAATTCAAAATTTTCAAAGACACGCGAGTTGGAGGATGGAGGTCGTCGTCCGCCGCAGCTTGCATGGCTTTACTTTGCATGCTGCATGGTCCACGGCACGCGACGGCCGAGGCGGGGCTGGCGGGGCTCTGGCGTCGCCGATACGCCCAAGCGACACCTTTGTTTCGTTCCCCGAGTTCCCGGTCCCCCGGCGAACACTTTCGCTTGGGCCCTAAAAGACCCTGCAGCGCGGCACGGCAAGGCCCGCCGCGGCCCGGCGTCCGAAAGGGGCTCCTCCACGTCCACGCCGGGGACAGCCGGGGACAGCCCAGCGCAGAGTCGCTCTGTCTCTGTCGCACTCACGGGGCTCTCCGTAAGGGTGCAAAGGAGACACAGTGAGAAACCGCTCTACTGAGTCGCTCCGCTCGACAGCCCGCAGCAGCACACCGCGCTTCCGTCTCTCTCGCACCCCCGCGCGGACGGGGCGTGGGGCCGTGAGTGCGAGAGAGACGGAGAGACAGGGCGACAGCCGGCAGGGGTCACCAAACCGCGGGATGAACAATGTCGGGGGCGAGACGGCGGAGACGTCGGCGAGGAGGACGGAGAGGACCCCCACGGCGCGCGGCTGCAGACTCACTCCGAGGCGTCGCTCTGTCTCGCTCGCACTCATGGGGAGTCCCCTACGGGTGCGAGAGAGACAGAGCGGCGAAAAAGCCAGCCGTGTCGCGGTCTCGCCCGTGTTCAGCCCATCCCGCCCTGCTGGGACGCCGCGACGGTCCCGACGACCGCGGTGCTAAAAGGCCCCGCGACAGGAAACTGGAGGCGACCAGCCCAGCTGTCACTGCCCCCTTCCCCCTCCCTCTCTCACACACACGCACGCACGCACGCACACACACACACAGGCGGCCAACGCCGCGGCCGAGTTCGCCGATCCGCGGTCGGCCCGCCACAGTCAGGGAAGTCCCCGGGCGCCGCGCCGGCCGGCCAGCGCACAGTGGGCCAGAAGACCCGTGGAGGCGGCCAAAACCCTAGATGCGTTTTGAGCTCCAGAGTCGCTTGAATCCATCGGTGGGGTCACACGTTCGGTTCGAGTCCCATTTAGCGACTCTGTAGCTCAAAACGCGTCTCGAATTTTGGCCGCTACGCCGGTCTTCTGGCCCACTGTGCGACGCTCTGTCTCCACTGGTAAAACAAAGGCATAAAAATTACGCCCTTTAGGGCATAAATACTCTTTTACGCCCTTGCAAGGGCATAAATCGTTTTATGCCCTTGGGAAGGGCATAAATGGTATAGGAATTTCAAGCAAAATTTTAATGCCCTTCCCAAAGGCATTAACGATTTATGCCCTTTAAGGGCGTAAATCGTTTACGCCCTTAAAGGGCATAATTTTTATGCCTTTGTTTCACCAGTGTCTCTACTACCGCAACGTCCCATGAGTGCGACAGAGACAGACAGAGCGACGACGCCGATGTTCGGCATCGGTCCGTTGCCCTTGTGTCGTCGCCGCCGCCACACCCGCGTGAGCTGTCAGATAGGGAGATAGCCAGCCGCGCCGCGAGTCCGCGAGACACCGGTCGGGTCCCCGCCGCTAAGTCGCGCCACGCGCCGCCACGCTCAGACGCCGCCAGGCCGTCAGGACCAGGACGCCGCCGTTTGAAATAGCCAAACACTCATCCCTTCCTGCAGCACACTGATTCAGGGAGTCGCTCCGTCTCTCTCGCACTCCTGTGGCGTCCCATGTAGGTGCGAGAGAGACAGAGCGACGAAAACGACTCTCGGAATCAGTCTGCAGGGCGGCAGGCTAGCCCCCGTCGTCGGGGTCGCAGTAAACGACCACTATGCACTTGACAAATCTAATTTCAGCTTGCTCTGCGAGTCACAAAGTCTGTCAGAGTGGAGTCGAGCGCCGCGGTGGTAACGGCCTTGTCGAGGGAGCGCCGGCGCGGCCTGGAAGTGGGAGCGCCTCGGGGCGGTCACACGTCCCCGACGACGGGGGCGCGGGCCAGAAAACGGGTGAAAGCGGCCAAAATTCTAGACGCCTTTTGAGCTCCACAGTCGCTTAACAGGACTCGAATCGAACGTGTGACCCCACCAATGGATTGCTCTTCGAACGAGGAATCCATTGCTGGGGTCACGGTCACACGTTCGGTTCGAGTCCTGTTTAGCGACTCTGGAGCTCAAAACGCGTCTAGAGTTTCAGCCGCCTCCGCCGGTCTTCTTGCCCACTGTGGGGCGGTGTCGTCGACGGGGACCTCTGAGACGCGACGCCCCGCGACGCCATCCGTCATCTTGCACCGTGTCCGCGGCCGCCGCGGCCAAGGCGCCGCCACGGCGATGGCGTCCGAGACCACGACGCCGAAGGCACGAGGTGCGGCGGGGGCAGCACCGTGGCGAAAACAATAGGGACGCCGCACTGCCACACCCATCGCCGAGGCAGGCCAGAGGCAGGCAGGCCGCGGCCGCGCGGCCAGGCGGGCAGGCAGGCAGGGCCCCAGACCCAGACGAGTATTTCGGGCAACACTCCGGACGTACACTGTGTCTCCCTTCAGAATAATGCGACGCATACAACTCCCCGCCCCCACCTCCCACCCCACCCGACGACCATATGACAGCGAGGAGTATCATCACATTATTTTGCAGGATTTAAAAATCATTTTAAAACAGAATTAAAGCACCATTTTCAAACCATGTTTAAATTACTCTGAGGAAAGTAAATGTCTCCCCTGCACAAGGAACCTCAATGCTGTTTCCTGGCTCCCAGCTCCCAGCATCGGTTGGCAAGCCATGAGGCTGTTGCCCTGCCCCCTTTCTATGACTGAGTTACTTTGAGGCAGAGTCATTGGCCAGCCCATTCATCAGGGAAACACACACTACTCCTTCGCAGCAAGGGCTGGGCCAAAAAAAGTTGCCTAGTCTGCGTTGACAATGACAGTAGTTGATGGTGTCAAGCACTGGCATTTTCAGTGAGTCTTTCGACTGGCACCAGCTTTGATGGGCATTGCCATTAATCAAGTTAGTACCGTTTAGGGACTGAGATGGACTAGTACCCAGTATTGTTCCAGCAGAAGTGAAATTTTGCTCCCAAACCAAATAACTAAATCTGTAACGCAGGCCTGAAGTCTTTCTTATCTGCAATACTGTCCCTTCAAGTCAACTCCGCAAAGTAAACAAGGAAGCTGATAAGAGGCAGGTGAGAGGGTTAACTACTTGGCACAAGAGTGCTAACTTAGAGTGAACTGGCAAGAAGAACAGGAAAAAGCTTCCTAGCCACATTTAAGCACACCTAGTGCCTTAAAGGCCTTTACATTCATACGAATTTGTGAAGTGAATTAGAATAAAAACTATAATGATCGGAAAATTAACTCTTACTTTAAAAATGTAATAGCAAATACAAAAAGGCTGCCCTGTCAGAAAATGGGCGAGACGCTAAGAACATAGGGAACTTCAAAGAGTAAATAAAGTGTTCCATCAATTGGGACAGCTCTTAGTCTGGACACCATCAGCAACCAGGAACCGTGAAAAAACCAACTATCTATAAAAAGTAGCCCGTCTCGACTAGGACACTTACTTTTCAGGAGAATAAAATGAGGGAAGACACCAGGTTTAGTAATCCACAGGTTAGGGCGTCGAGTTCTTGGTGAAGGACACCTCCACAATGCACACAACACAATCACTCTTCTTCACAGACTTAATTTTCGTCCTAAATCCATGCCAGACGTGATTCATTGTAGCAACACTATTATTTCCATTACGAATCTAAGAACCAAAACACAACGCGCAGCAGACAAGCGCACTCCCGAACGCCATCATCACTTCTGAGGGGCACCGCCTTCGCTAAGCCGCACAGCACAACACTGACTCGCCGCCTTCTGCAAAAGCAGCCTCACGCGCGCGGCGTTGCCAACTCAACACGGACCCGCTCAACTTCTCGCCGTCTCTAAATGGTGCTGGAAAGAGAAAACAGACTTTTGTTGACCCTAGACAAATAAGCGTTCACCCACTCTGTGAAAACAACGGTGGTTTCGGAGAACTGAGGCGGGATTCAGTCGAGTACTCATTCTGAGGCAGCCCGGAGGTCCCGGAGGTCGGGGCCGCTGTGAGTGGGAGAGAGACGGGAGAGGGCGGCAACTTTCGAACGCAGCTGCGCATGCTCCGCCGCCGCGGTGCGCATGGAGTGGAGGAGCGGTGGAGACCTCCTCGGGGGTCCTGCTGGCCTGGCATTGCGCGCGCTCTTTGCGCACTGGACGGCAACGTGACGTCGTGTCGAGGTGCCCCCTCCCCCTTTTATTTCATGCCTACATGCACTCGCGCACGCGTCGCGAGTGGGGCGTACTCCTCCACACCATGCGCGGCTCCAGCCCGACCCGGTACAGAGGCCCGGGGCTCATGGAAGTGGCGCGGAGAGTGGTTATTTTAGGTTTTTGCCGGTTTGCAGTCGTGACGGGGCCTCCTTGCTTGCCCTGCCTTCAGCAGAGGGAAGTGCCAGACACGGGCTCAACGAACGACAGAACTGCCGAATGTGACATCCAATCAGAAGTCAAAGCCGCTTCCTGGACGCAACGACACCCCTTCGCACAGATTAAATGTATATTTTATTGAGTATGAGTAAGTATGAGTATGATATTTGTACTGTCTGGACTTCACAGAGGCCAAAGAAACCATAGCAACTTAAAATAATTTTTGGAAAATAAGTAACTGTTGAGGAACAAGCCAAAATTGAATTTTCGATTCCAAGTAGGTATCATAGCAACACATGAGCATCTTGCTGCGCTTGCTGCTTCGTGCCGCTAAGTTTCTTGTGGAATGATTGAATCAGGGAAACGGAACAGGGAACGACCACTCAGGAGCAACATTCCACAAAAACGTGCACACGTTTTGCTCGGTCTTGAAAACGCTGATATACAGGCCTTCAAGAATCGAACGCATACTGATGGCTCGAGAGGGTATGGTATTTGATTGATGTCTCTAGTTTGGTGGTTTGTTCTGAAGAAATTAGATGACATGAAGTTGTCTGCACGTTGGCTCTACCGCGTTGGCAATACCAACTGCTACCAACCTTAACAACGAAACTCGTTTCGAGACAAGCAGACGGAAAACAAACGATAACGATACATCGAAGTAGCAAGGTAAGAAAGATGGCTACGGTTTCATGGAAAGTAGGAATTTCGTCAAGATTATTAGTAAGAAACCTTACTAACAGCGTTAAAGTTAGTCGCAATGTTGTGAGAAGGAATTATTCACTCCAGTCAAGCTTTACAAGGAATTGTTCCGCAGCGCCTTACCGTTTTAACACAAGATATTATGGTAAGAAATGAACATGTTGTTGTGTCTGAGGTTAGGATTTCGCCGATAAACATTGCCAATTTTATCGCAGGTACACTGATTCCTTTCACAGTGTCATGAGCCTTTTTCTTCTCTTTAATTTATGTTCTTTCATTATTAACTGTTAAATCCACATGTCGACCTCACATTTCGTGAAACTTGGAGCCTGCAGTCTCATGTGTGTCCCTCATGTTTCAGCCACAGAGACCTCTGGAGACAGAACTTCAATTTTGAAACAGCTGGAGGATGACCAGAAAAAGAGTTCCATATTAAAACAGCTAGAAGAAGAGCAGAAAAAAGATGAAGAAGAAGCCAAAAAGCACAGGGAGCAGAACTGGCGCAATACCAAGCGGGGCTTGATTGCGTGTGGTGGAATGATTACAATCTCTTTTGGCTACATGATATTCAGTTTTGGTACGTGTGTACCATTTCCTCTGTTAATTGATTGGATACCATTGGATGCATGTCTGTATACAATCTCAACTTTTTTAACTTTTTTTTTTCTTTTTGTAGGGGCAACTCCGACAGATGCTGAGGGAAATCCTATAAAAGATGAGTTTTCAGACTTGCCTTTTCCTCAACAACACATTTACAGAATATTTAAGGAGCTTGACTATGTTAAGAAGGTGACTTTAGCATCTAATTGAATTGACAAGTAAAATTCCCAATCTTGATTTTCAATATCTTATACTGCCTTTTAAATGTTTCAGTTATTTGGAGAGCCCTCCCGTCAGAAGCTTCTTCCTGACCCTTTGACCTATCCGTACATTCAACCTCCATACACCTTAGTGCTTGAATTTACTGATATGCTAGTTCATCCAGATTGGACTGTAAGAAAATGCCTTGTTTTTTCAAAGCTGCATTTGAGTTAAATTCTTTCTGCTTCTAATCATCCTTACTGTGTCTTTTGTGCAGTACCAAACTGGTTGGAGGTTTAAGAAACGCCCAGGTGTAGATTATTTCTTAGAGCAAGTGGCACCTCCTCTTTTTGAAGTGGTGGTCTATACAGCTGAATCTGGAATGGTACATACGTTCAAATATTCTGTTTGTGTTGGTAATATGTTTGTTCACCTGTCTCTAGTTTTCTTTGTTTAATTTCAGACTGTATTTCCTATCTTGGATGCATTAGATCCTAATGGTTATATCATGTACCGTCTTGTGAGAGATGCCACTAATTTTGTCGACGGCCATCATGTTAAATCCTTAGATCATTTAAACAGAGACTTAAGCAAGGTATTGTTAAATTATTTCTCAGTCGAAATTTTGACGATTCAGTCGCATTTATAAATCTGTTATTAATTTTCAATTTTCCTCTGTCCATCTGCAGGTAATAGTGGTGGATTGGAATTCTTCATCTGTCAAGATGCACCCTCGCAATACCTTGCTCATCCCTCGCTGGAATGGAAATGACAGTGATAGAACACTTATTGACCTTGCTGCATTTTTGAAAAGTAAGAACGGTTCCATCATTTTGTTTTATGGCACTTTTTTTTTCAGCCTAATCTTCAAATCCTTCAATTCAACCTTTTTCTTGTTTTCAGTGTTGGCAACAAACAAAGTAGAGGATGTTAGAGATGTTTTAGACTATTACCAGCAGTTTGAGGATCCTTTGCAAGCTTTCCGAGATAATCAGCGTAGAGTTTTGGTGAGTGTTTTCTTTGTGTGTCTGCATGGTCTTTATCTTTTTCAACTTTTCTACCTCGCAAAGTTCTATCCATAATTATTTATGCTCGCAGGAAAATCTAGAGCAAACTGAGAAGGAACGGAAAGATGGCCAACAAGGTCTTGCTCAACGGTGGAGACCAAGTTTCTTAAAGAAGACTTGAAGGTTAGCATGCAAACGAATTAACAAAAGGTTTCATCCCAGAACTTTCCTCAATCATGTCATGTCATAATTCCTCAATCAGCATTTACATACCTAGTCTCAAGTAACATCATGATAGTGATAAGGATCCCTTTTCATATTCACTTTTTATGATTTGAACCAAACAAGAAATATTCCTCCTTTGTGTGTTCATAAAATAAGTGTTATAGAGTGAGGCATAATTGATCAAAATGTTGATAGATTGGCGTCATAGGCATCAATGCTTTCCAATTTTCATGCTAATGCTTAGTCAAGAATCACAGCCTTTTTCAGATTTGGCAGCTAGTGAAATTCCACACTATATTGTTAAACCACAGTACCAAAAATATTGTGAAATGATGTTTTAAGTTTCAATGTGGGTTAGTGTATAAACTAGCAGTATATTGACTACAGTGTAGGGTGTTTCAAGAGATGTTAAGTTTGGAAAATTTACCATTCATTAAAATAAAGAAGATTCAATTCATTAATTTTTTTCTAGAATTTATTTCAGTCCCTCTGTCCATTACAAAAAGAAAACAAGCATGGAATTTCTTTATGAAGTATGATTCCTTTCTACAACACAGGGAAAAATAAGATCAGACCAGAAAACACACGGCTGCTTCTGCTGACGCACTGCCATCAGTTCTTGAATGCAAAGCTGCAAAGTGGAAATTTTGAATGCATCAAACTACAGTCTTGAAATTTTCTTGTCTGTTCTTTTTGAATGTTTAACTATTTTATTAAATTAACAGCTAAATGCCAAAGTCAAATCAAATCAATAAATACTTGGAGCAGTAAATACTATGTACAAATTTAAAACAGCTAACAATCCATTTACTTTGAAGGTTTATTACATTTCTGTAAAAGACGGCTATGTTCCTCTCTCATCTAAAATTGGATTCTATTCTTAATCAACTTGTTAGTTTTGCACAGGGTGGGATAAGAGATGCAATCCACATCCTACATAGACCTTCAAAGCAACAAATGGAGCAATAGAACATAGAGCACCCTCAAATCAGGCAAATAAAATATAAATAATGATCCCCTTGTTCGTTCTTTTAAAATGTTCCTCCCAGAGAAACCAAAAATTTGAACAAACATATGCATCAAAATGCATTTGCACTAACAACCTTACCTACAATTAACTGTACAGGACTCAAATTGTTTATAAACAGACATATACAAAAATGTACAAAGAGAAACAAAACAACCCTTGTTAAATACTGAATTATACATAAACCAACTCTCAGTTCTGTATTTATTAAATCACAGATGCCTAGTACGCGCTTTTAAATTGACTATCTAGTCCAAAGTAGCTAACACGCCTCCTTTTATCTTTTGAAAACACCATCTCACCCAAAGAACACGAAACGCTCACAGTGACGTCATTTTGATGTCATTATGACAACTTTTAGTCAAAATTTCGACAAAAAAAGCATTATTTTGACGTCATTTTGACGTCCTTTGACTGCTTCGTGAGTGTTTCAAGTTCTTCCGGCACTCTTTACGCCACGAATAACGTTCAGCAGAGCCCAGTAAAGTATTATACTAAATCTGGAAGAGATGAGAATTGTCATCCATACATGGAATGGCTGCTCTAGTGTTCGTCTCAGGAACCATGAGGCCAAAGAGATCTGCTTCACCATAAAGACAAAAAGGCCCCTTAGCTTGACAGTTTTGTCACGAATGATCTTTCAGTCTCAATTTGTACCTAAGTCTGGCTGGCCGCGCCCGCTCGCTTGGGCTTGGTGAGGGGGATGTACTTGGCCGTGTGCTGCTGGGGGCGGGGGTCGTTCCTGCTGTAGGACAGGGGCACGAGGTAGGGGGTGGGTTCACCGGTGGAGGGCGCGGGGCTGGGGGTGGCTGCCCCGGGGGCGGCGCTGGCGGCGCTGGAGGCGCTGGCGGCAGGGACATGCTTGGCGCGCCTCTGGGCGGCGGACGGGCTGCCCTTGTCGCCGCGAGTCCCGGCCGAGGACGCCGCCGTGGGGCCCGCCGCGTCCAGGTCGCGGCCGCTGAAGAAGCTGTTGACGGCGGCGAAGGGCATGAAGGCCAGGCGCGCGTACCGCTCGGCCTGCTCCAGCAGCGCCACCAGCCGCTGCGGCAGCAGCTGCACCGTGATGGAGCGCTCGCTCCAGTTGCCCGCCGTGGGCGCGGGGGGCGGCGGCGGCGGGTGCGACGCGTCGCCGTCGAAGAAGGAGAAGGCCCGGCTGTTGTTGGCGGCGCGGCGGCTCTCCTTGTCCGCGGCCACGGAGGGCACGGCGGCGGCCACGGGCTTGGACGGCGGCCAGTGCTGCCAGATGTGCGTGCCGCCCAGGGGCGGCGGGTTCAGCTCCACGGCGGGCGTCCACTCGGGCGTCGTCGTCTTGTCCTGCAAGTCGCGCCCCGTGCCCGACGAGGTGGACGGCGGCGCCGTCGTCTGCACCGCGTCGGCGTCCTCCGGGGCCGGCGTCGTGGCGTTGGTCGGCGCGGACGTGCTGGTCGTGGTGCTGGTCGACGTGGTCGGCTTGAGCACGGGCTCGGTGATCTCCGGCTTGGCCGGGGCGGACTCCGCCTGCTGGAAACTGCGCCTGTCTCCGACCGCCTCGCCGGGCGGCGCGGTGGCCGTCCGCACGAGCACGGGCTCCGAGATCTCCGGCTTGGTCGCGGACGCCGCGGACGCCGAGGACGCCGCGGGGGCCGAGTCCACGACGACGGGCGGCGGCGGCGTCTCGTCGGCGGACGGCTCGGTGGCGTCGTCGCGGTCCGTGCCGTTCACCAGGGGCTGCAGCGTCGTCACGCCCACCTGCACCTGGTCGTCGAAGGCGCGCGCGTCGTCGCGGTTGCGCGAGTTGTCCAGGCCGTTGTTGGTGGTCTCCGGGAGGTCGTCGAGCAGCGGCTGCCACGCGGGGCCCGTCGCCTCCAGCAGGTCCAGCAGCGCGTCCTCCTCGGCCGTGCCCGTGCCGTTGAGGCCTTCGTCGCCGACGTGCACCACCTGCGTGGGCACGAACAGGCTCGAGTTGCGCTGCGCCAGCAACGCCGTCAGGTTGAAGCCGGGGTGGTCGGGCGGCGAGGGCTGCGCGGCCGGCGACGACACCTCGTTGGTCTCGGACGACGGCCCGCCCAGCGGCCCGCCCGCCTGCTGCAGCTGCGCGCTGGTAGTGTCGCGCGGCGGGTTGCACTCGCCGGCGAACAGCGGCAGCAGCACGGGCACGCCCGACTCCAGCACCAGGTCCTTCTTGCACACCGAGGAGCTGCGGGGGAGAGCAGTACACCGACAATGAGTCACTTACCCTATCTAGAGTCCTAGTCCCCAAAGTCCCCAGAGGAAAAGGCTATGGGAATCCACGCGTACCTTTTGCCGAAGCTGTCGCTGAGGGTGACCTTGTCCACGGACCAGCGCGCCAGCCCCGAGCTGATCCAGCCCGAGTAGGCCGTGTAGAGCAGCTGCACGCCGCGAGGCTCCTGCATCACGGGGTGCGGCACCACGATGCGCGACAGCGACCCGCCCACCTGCAGCTGCTCGTCGTCCTTCCTGCAACCGGAGAGGGTCAGTTTTGGAAACTTGGTGAAGCGCAGCTCGCAACAGCGGTCAGCCCTACACTACAAATATAGAGTGCCCACAAACTGGGCGCCTTTGTCGCCCGCCCCACTTTTAAGGGCGCCCAGTTTGTGGGCACTCCACATTTATAGTGAATGCACGTACGTCGTGAGCGTAAAGGTCTCGTTGAAGTCCGAGTCGCCGACGAGCGTGATCTGGATCTTGCCGTAGCTCACCACGGGCAGCACGCTGGGGGAGCTCTCCACGCGGACGTGGTACTGGTGGGCTGTGGAGGTGCACAGAAGTAGATATTAGAATCACCTGGGGTTGGGTTGGATCAGGTTAGATGCAGCTGGGCTCAGGTGCGAAGACAAGGGGGAGGCAGCAAAGAGTTTTTTTTGCCCATCCCACATCCGGAAGATGGACAAAAAGGTGTTCTTTGCACTGAAGTGGGCTAAGCCACTTTTGCCCTCCCTGAAGGACCACCTAGACCGGCGGTGGCCAAAACTCCGGACGCGTTTTGAGCTCAAGAGTCGCTAAACAGGACTCCAACCGAACGTGTGACCCCACCAATGGACTCCTCGTTCGGAGAGCAATTCATTGGTGGGGTCAAACGTTCGGTTCGAGTCCCATTTAGCGACTCTGGAGCTCAAAAGGCGTCTGGAATTTCGGCCGCCTCCACCGGTCTTCTGGCCCACTGTGTGTGTGTTGGGTTCGGCGGCTACTGACCGCAGAAGGGCTCCTCGTCGCGGGTGACGAGGTAGAGCGCGCCGCGGGCCAGGGCGCGGTCCGCGTAGTAGCCCATGTTGCCGCAGGGCCGGCTGGCGGGGTCGCAGGGGAAGCAGCGGCCCTGCAGGAAGCTCTCGTACGAGTCGCAGGCCGCGGCGGGGAAGTGGCAGCGCGGCGACACCGAGTCCGTGAAGAACTTGTAGGCGCGCCGGTGGTTGCACAGGCTGCGGGCCTCGTTCTCCGACGCGGCTGCAAGGCAATGCAGTGCCGGCGGCGGCGAGTTTATGTCCATTCATTCTGTGGACTGATTCCGAGAGTCGTTTTCGTCGCTCTGCCTCTCTCATGGGGCGTCCTGTGTAGGTGCGAGAGAGACACAGCGACGGAAACGACTCTCAGAAACAGTCTGCAGTCAGTGTACCCAAAGAATGAAGCAACTTATACCTCCCAATTTTCAATTTTCTTTTAATGGGATTTTCAACAACTTCTTAAAAATAATTGTGTATAATTTTTTTTCTAGTGTGTCAACTAGCGCACACTGTGAAGTTGGTCCACTCCACTCACACCACAGGATGTCGGACACGGCGCCGACGAACAGGTTTGCGCAGCCCTTCTGCATGCGTCCGCCGTTGGGGTAGAAGTCGACGTGGCCGAGGGGCTGCCGCGTGCCCAGCCCGCCCAGGATGAGGTTCTCGCCGTTGCTGTGGATCACGTCCACGAAGTTGGCGTCCGTGGCGTCCAGGCGCGCGCGGGGGTCCTGCGACTCGAACAGCGGCCCGGCGGGGTCCAGGCCTGCCGCGGAAAAGGGTGGAAAGAGTAAAAATCGCGTTGGAAGACAGGAACAAAACAGCGCAATGGAATACAATTAAAGTCAGCCCACTGTTGAAAAAAAATTCGGAAAATTCTGAAATCTTATGTTTCTATTTTTAAGGGTTTTTAACAGGTATAGAACAAAAAGGTTGGGAGGTTAGGTTAGGAGGTTAGGTTAGGATACTGCCCCCTGAATAGTGCCGTACCCGTGATCCTGCTGAGGTTCTTGAGCTCGGCGCCGGCGAAGCCCGCGACGTGCGCGCCCAGCGAGAAGCCGATGACGTGGACGCGGTGCACGGGCAGCCCGGCGTGCTTCTGGAGGCCGGCCAGCAGCAGCGCCACCTGCTTGCCCACCATGCGCGTGTTGGCCGCGGCGCGCACGTAGTTGGGGATGGTGGCGCCGCGCTCCCAGTCCACGCAGATGACGTTGCAGTCCTCCACGGCCATCAGCGCGGACCGCATCTCGTACACCCACACGTGGGAGCACGAGCTGCCGAAGCCGTGCACGATCACCTAAACAACCAGTCACAGCTCAGCTCCAAGTCAAAACGCCCCAAAATAAAAAAAAGTTGCAAAAAGTTGAAGAAAGAAGTTTTTAGAAAATTAAAAAGTTCTTCAAAAAAGTTAAAAACAGTCTTAAAAAAAAAACCTTAAAAGTTAATTAATTAATGCAAAGTCTTCAAAGAAAGAATAGAAAAGGTTTTTAGCCGAAACAATTAAAGCTTTTATTTTAAGAATTTTTTTGGGAAAATATAAGTTTTTAGAAAGAAAAAAATTGTCCCCTGGAGGAAAGCGAAGAAAATAAGCAAAATGTGATGGTACCTTGGTCGGGGAGGACGCGTTGAAGCGCCGCGTGGCGTCCGCCCACACCGTGGACAGGTTACTGAAGGGCACGTCCAGCAGGGGGATGTCGCCTCTGGAACACACGAGAACCGCGCTCGCGTCACCGACTGTCGCTCTGTCTCTCTCGCACTCGTGGAGTGTGCCGCGCGGGTGCGATAGAGACAGGAGTGGGCCAGAAGACCGGTGGAGGTGTTCAAAATTCCAGACGCGTTTTGAGCTCCAGGGGCTCGAACCGAGCGTGTGACCCCACCAATAGATTGCTCTCTGAACGAGGAATCCATCGGTGGGGTCACACATTCGAGTCCTGTTTATCGAATTTGGAGCTCAAAACGCGTCTAGAGTTTTGGCCGCCGGCGCCGGTCTTCTGGCCCACTCTGATGCACTGTACGCGGCCGCCAGCAGTTTTGCTCCCGTCTCGCTTTTCGTTTTTCGTCGGCCTCACCTGTTGCGCCGGGAGTACAGGAGGAAGTGGGTGTCCACCTCCTCGGGCGGCGACGGCAGCATGTCCAGGTAGCCGAAGGGCCCCGAGTCCTGGAAGCAGCCGACCTCGGGGTAGCACACGGAAGCATCGGCTCGCTTCTTCCTGCGACCACAAAAGGAGAAAACACCGGTGAGTCGCTGAGTTGTTGCGTTGTTGACTTTGCTTTCTGGAACCTAGGGCCTCTCTCTCTCTCTCTCTCTCTCTCTCTCTCTCTCTCTCTCTCTCTCTCTCTCTCTCTCTCTCTCTCTCTCTCTCTCTCTCTCTCTCTCTCGTCGCCGCGGCCCTTTTTCGGACGCCGAGTGACGTCGTGACGTCACAAGGACGTCACGAGCGAGGCGCCGGCACACCGACACACTGACACACACGCACTCTCACACACAGACTGATGGAGGCGGCCTGGCCCGGTCCAGTGCTCACGTTTATCATGTTTGGGTGGCTGGGGCGATGCTGGAGTCAATCTGGCGGACTTTTCCATTCGCGTTGTGTAATATGCACGCTGCGTTTGTGTGTGTGTGTGTGTGTTGTTTTTTCTTGTGTGTGTGTGTGTGTGTGTGTGTGTGTGCCGGTGGCGCCTGGAGTCTGGACCAGCCTGGGCCTGGGTCAGTCACCGGCCCACGCCCTCCCTACGGCAGACTGACGCCGCCGAACGGCGTTTTGTCGCTCCGTCTCTCTCGCACCCCGTCGGAACGCCCCATGAGTGCGAGAGAGACGGAGCGCCGCCTCTCCTTTTCCCCCGTGGCGTGATTTGCATGCAAAGCGGAGTGATACGAATCCTCGAATGCGCGCACTCAAGCTGGACGGCCGCTGGAGAACCGAGGGGAACGCGTTGTGAAACAGAGGCAGCGCGCGGAAAGGCGAAAAGAGTGAAAACGAGCCGACGAACATTCGGCCAGCTTTAGATCTAGCAGCCGGCGAAGCACTGGATAAAGGATTTGTCCAGCGGACAAGCCGGTGGAGCATGGATAAAGTTGTCAGCGGACAAGCGTGGACATGGATATCGATTTGCCAGTGGACAGCCGGTGGGACTGGAAGAGGATTTTCAGCGGACAAACCGGTGGAGCACTGGATAAAAGACTTTTCAGATCCACACAACACACTGACTCAACCCCCTGCTCAAGCCGGGTGAAGGCATAGGATCAGTGTGGATGAGCCATACAGTCAGTCAGTTGCGGCAGCATGCACCAGTGTCATGGTTGCCACTACAAATCTAGGCGTCGCTGTCGAGAAGTTGCCTAGAAGGCAGGCTGAGGTTGGCAACCCTGTCGACACTGGAACTAGTGGCAACTTTTGCCCAGACTCGTGTGGCAGCCCTGCGGAGCCGTCGAGAGGTGCGAGAGAGACAGAGCGACGCAACGCCTCGGCCGCGTCGCGTCATTTGGACGCTAAAGCTCGGGATTAGCGGTCGATTAGCGTGTACTTATCGCGGAGGCGTGTAACGAAAGAGAAAGAGACGAGAGCGAGAGAGAGACGATGAGATCACAGAGTGAACGGAGAGGGAAAGTGAACGTGGCTGCCGCCCGGCCCCGCCCGGCCCCGCCCCGCCACCGTGCATTCTGTACAGTCACAATCGCTTTGGAAAGTTACGAACGACGAGTAATAACTTGGGAGTGCGTTCATCAGTTGGGTCATCATAACTAACTGCCGTGCCGCACAAACCAACTGACAATAGCCGAAAAAAAAAATGAAATTAAGAAGGGAATTTGAACCGCCGACCTCAGCACCCGCACGCGAGGACGCTAACCACTCACCTGTGCGATGACAGTTTTCGGAGATGCCATTCCGCCATGGACGTGACGACGGCGCGGAACAGCTCGGCGTCGTTGCGCTCGTCCTGGGCTTCCATCTCTGCACTCGCCCAGCGGGTGCCATGCAGGGAGCATTGCACGACGCCTGCAACAGAAGCGACACGGTCACTACACTGACAGAAAAGGCATCGCGCATTGATTGGACTTGAACCGAACGTGTGACCCCACCAATGGATTGCTCTCCGAACGAGGAATTTATTGGTGGGGTCACACGTTCGGTTCGAGTCCCACTTAGCGAGTCTGGAGCTCAGAACGCGTCTGGGATTCGGACCGCCTCCACCGGTCTTCTGGCCCCACTGTGCGCCCGTGTGTAGTGTTGGTGTTGGTTTGGTTGGCAAGCCTGTGAGTTGTTGATGTGTATTCATGTCTGCTTGGCCAGCCTGGGGGTTGGTGTCGGTTCTATTGACAATCCTGTGCGCCAATAAGAATCCAGCCCGCCAATGGTGAGTCACGTGTCTCTGCCTTAATCGTCGTTGACCGCGCGTATTCGACCAGGGCGTCATGAATGGCCAGGAGTTCTGTCTGACCTCCGCCCGCTGTCCCTCTCGCTCGTTAGGTTAGGGTTGTCCGCTCGCGCCGTGAGAGTCGTTTTCGGCGCTCTGTCTCTCTCGCACCCGCACGAGGCGCCTCATGAATGCGAGAGAGACAGAGCGACGAAAACGACTCTCGGTCTGCTGGGGCGGTTCCTCGCTGCATGCTATGCATGCCATGAACTCGGCGGCGCGCCCGGCACCTCGCTTTCTTACCTTCTGGGTGGGGAAGCCCGCTGTCCGGCCCGCCGCCCGCCGCCGCCCACGCCACTGTAGGCCGATCGCGAGCCCTCGAACGGCGGCCGCTACACGTACTACATTGTCGTCGATCTTAATCCCGTGTCTGGTGTCGGGTTCCTCGGTGGCGTTCACACGTCACCCGCACCTCGTAAAACCGTGCGACTTACACGCGGTACTCCTCGCGCGCCACGCAAGGGTGTGTGTGTGTGAGAGAGAGAGAGAGAGAGAGAGAGAGAGAGAGAGAGAGAGAGAGAGAGAGAGAGAGAGAGAGAGAGAGAGAGAGAGAGAGAGAGAGAGAGAGAGAGAGAGAGAGAGCAATCCATTGGTGGGGTTAGACGTTCGGTTCGAGTCCTGTTTAGCGACTCTGGAGCACAAAATGCGTCTAGAGTTATGACCGTCTCCACCGTTCTTCTGGCCCACTGTGCGGTGCACTGCTCGGAATCAGGAAAACAAGCAATCATTCGCAAAAGGGCTTCCCGCGCCAGCAACAAAAAGGACAACAACAACAACAACATCATCATCAACAACAAAGCCGATTGATTGCGCGGTGCACGCGGAAAGGAGATCGAGTCCGCCCTCGTTCTGCACTGCAGGCCGATGCCGAGCGGCGTCGCTGTGTCTCTCTCGCACCCTTACAGGCCGCCCCATTAGTGAGAGAGAGAGAGAGAGAGAGAGAGAGAGAGAGAGAGACGGCTGTTCGGAATGAGCCCAGCTGTCCGAACTCCGAACGAGCCGCCGCGCTACCGGCATCTCTAGTGCTCTAGTGCCCAGCGCCGCCGCGGGGCTCCCCCCCCCCCCCCCCCATTTTCCCCGGTCTTCGCGTCTCGGCGGTCAGTAGTTCCCTAAAGCTCTCCGCGAATTTCTCATGCAAATGTTTCTCCAGCGACTGGCCACCGCTTCTCCAGCTCCAGTCCTCCAGTCGGCAGCGTGCCACTGTCATAAATCTCCAGCGCATGCGTGGCGGGCCGTGGCGTGCCGCCGGACAGTGGGCCAGAAGACAGGTGGAGGCGGTCAAAATCCCGGACGCGTTTTGAGCCTCCAGAGTCGCTAAATGGGACTCGAACCGAATGTGTCACCCACCAATGGATTGCTCTCCGAACGAGGGATCCATTGGTGGGGTCACACGTTCGGTTCGAGTCCTGCTTAGCGACTCTGGAGCTCAAAACGCGTCTAGAGTTTTGGCCGCCTCCGCCGGTCTTCTGGCACACTGTGCGCCGTGGCGCCGTGGCGTGCAGTAGGCCAGTGGTGGCGCGTGCGGTCAGTGGTGCCAACGGAATGTCACGCTTCGACGACGCCGAGCCGCGCCGCGCCTTACTGGCCGCACTATGGGGCCGTATCGCACGGCCGCTGGCGCCGACACTCGATTGGTCGTCGCAAAGGGATCCCGGGTTCGACTCCCGCCGGCGGCGCCGTTTTTTATTTTCGCAGGTCATGAGACGAGCCGTGCATCCCCCCTCGGCACAGGTAATGCCTCGACTAAACCTCAGTGCCCCCAGCGGACCCTCTGCGACGACTAGGTGATCACTAAGGTTCGACTCAAACCGAACCGAATCGGCTGCTCTCGCCGCATTGTCGCTGTTCCACCGCACTGCGGTGTAGGTGCAGGGCGGCGGGCAGGTGGGCCTACGCTGCGGACGGCTGTAGACCGATTCCGAGAGCCGTTTTCGTCGCTCTGTCTCCCTCGCACCCATACGGGACTCCCCAAGAGTGCGAGAGAGACAGAGCGACGAAAACGACTCTCGGAATCAGTCTGCTGCTCTCCTTTCGGCCTTTCGGCCGCCAAAACAATGTCACTCGACCGAGTTGTCCCGCAAGTGTTTGGGCAGCGCGGCGCGTCCGGGGGCCGTCCCGCAACCACTTGCTGTCTAACGGCATCAGACAAAATTACTCTGTAGTTTATGCTCAGGGTTGAAACCCTATTCGGAATGGGTAGTGACCCGTTGAGAAGGGGTTACGACCCGACTGGAACGGGTTGAGACCCATTGGAAATGGGTCGTAACCCTTTATGAATGGGTTGTGACCCATTGGGGAATGGGAATGTAGAGCTACACGCAAAAAAAAAAGAAAAAACTACTAGTACTTTGTGTATAACCTATTACAAACTTAATCTAGCCTAACATGACCTGACTTGACTCAACCTGGCCTAACCCCACCTGGCGGGCCTCCCCTTTGGGCCGGGCCGCTACACGCGACGGGCGCTTCCCGCGCCTTGGGAAAGTCAGTCGGTCGAAGGCCGAGGCAGGCCGGGGCGTGAAGCCAAATGTGAGAAAACGTGCCGAAACGGCCGTTTGTTGCTGATGGCGAGGATCCGTTGTTGCCAGGCAAGAGCAAGGGGCACAGAAAAAAAAGACTGACAGAAAAAGAGAAAAAAAAAGAGAAAAATATGAAGAGAAATATCTTGAAGCAAAAGGAGGGCAAGGGCAAGGCAGAAGCATCGGCGTAGCAGCAGGGCCGCAAAAAAAAGGGGGCAAAAATTATTGCAATGTCGGTGTACGACATGGAATGTCGGTGCAGTCAGGCAGTCAGGCAGGCAGGCAGGTAGGCAGACAGGCAGCCAGCCAGCCAGCCAGCCAGCTCAGCCAGCTCGGGCGGTGCGGTGCAGGCTGCACTAACGGACCCGATTTGGTACACTGCGCTGGCGATGCAGGCGAGGTAGTCTGCAGTCGTCCTCCTCAGCCAGGTTAGGAAAAGTGACGGAGAAAGATGGCGAGAAACGCGAAGCAGGGCGAGCAGCGCAGCCAAGGCGCAACCAAGGCGCAGCCAAGCCAACCCGGGCATGCAAAACGCGGCAACGCGGCGCCTCTCTCTCTCTCCCTCCCTCTCTCTATCTCTCTCCTTCTCTCTCCCTCCCTAATGCCGCAGTTCCCACGCGGGCGCAGTCATTTGCCGCCGGGTTAGGGGTGGACGGTCCGCGCCGTCCTCGGTCCCGGCCGGTCCCGGCTTTCGCTGTTAGATCAGGACGTGAACGACCTTGCGCGCCTTGCCGCGCCTTGCCGCGCCTTGCCGCCTCCCCCATGAAGGCCCACACCGCTCCGCCGCGCCACTGCAACGCCACGGCCACGCCCGCCTCCGAAAGAGAAACGCCGGCTGCAGGCGGTACGCTTCGCTTCAGTTTGACCGGTTACAGCTGCAAGAGACGGCCTTCACCTCTCTGCTCCAACCCGCCCCACCCCGCCCCGCCTCGCCCCGTCTCGCCCCGCCCCGCCACCGCCGTTCGGCCTCAAGGTGGGTTCATGTAACCCACAAGGCCGCAAGGCTCATGGCCGTTGGCTTGGGCGGTCCATGGATCTTTCTCGCCGAACGGCCGCGAGGTCCACGGCCACGAGGTCCATGGCCTCCAGCCAGGCGCCCCCAGGCGAGCCGGTCGAGGAAAGCCCGCTCGCCGGGTGAACCGGGCGAACCACGCTGCAACCAAGGCAGCGGGAAAGCCCGCGGCCAACGCCCGTGTCTCCGGGGAGCAGAGTGGCACAGTGGGCCAGAAGACCGGTGGAGGCGGTCAAAATCCCCGACGCGTTTTGAGCGCCAGAGTCGCTACATGGGACTCGAGCCGAACGGGTGACCCCGCCAACGAATTGCTCTCCGCACAAGGATTCCATTGGTGGGGCTACTCGTTCGGTTCAAGTCCTGTTCAGCGACTCTGGAGCTCAGAACGCGCTCAGAGTTTTGGCCGGGGCCGTTCTTCTGGCCCACGGTGCGTGGTGGCAGCCGAGGGTCATGTCTTGCTGCAGGTTCGAGAGAATGCACGTTCGACCACGGGCAGGCTTAGGCCGGGCGGCGTCCTGGCTGACGGGCTTGACGGCCACCTCCAGTGTAGGAGCCGAGCCGCGAAGCCGCGACCAGTGTCATAATGTTGGGGTTGTCGTCGCCGTGCTCCTCGATCAAGTCCATGCGGCGCTCGGGGCGGGGCGGCCGGGCGGGGCGGGGCGGCGGGGCGGGGGGGGCGGGGCGGGGCGGGCGGGCGCAGGCCAATGACTGCGCTAGCCTCACCCCGGGTGCTTTCTCTGGCTTCACAACACTCGCGTCAATCATGCATTAGAGCAGCTGGAGCTGAAACCGAGAGTGGCTGCCCCCTCCCCTCCCTTCCCCCTCCCCTCCCTTCCCCCCCCTCCCTTCCCCCTCCTCTCCCTCTCCCTTTCCCCCGCCACCGCGCCGCCGCCTTGGTTTTATTCCGATCCCAAGGCCGTCCCGTACGTCCTTCACCTCCAAACGTAATTGGACCAAAGCGAAAGGAGAGAGAGAGGGAGAGGGGAGAGAGAGAGAGGAGAGAGAGAGAGAGAGAGAGAGGGAGAGAGAGAGAGAGAGAGAGAGAGGAGAG